AACGTACGTACGACGACACACACACACACACACACACACACACACACACACACACACACACACACACACACACACACACACACACACACACACACACACACACGCACACACACGATGACATGTACACGGTGAGTACAACAGCTGGTGCGTTGCGGTACCTTTCTGCCGCAGCTCCCGGTTGATGCCACGGATGGCAGACGCGACGCCACACGCCGGCTGACGGTGTGAAGCCGCCCTGTGCGTCATGTTTGCGGCACAGTTTGTTGTTTGTTGTCTCCGACTGCTGGCGTAGTAAACAAACACCAAAAACCGTCGCCACGTATAAACAGCTATGCCAAAACAGGCGGTGGGTGGGTGGTTGAGTGCGGGGGTGTCCGGACGCCGGGTTCAGCACCCCTCGCTCGTGCGCGCCCGGCATCCGGCGTCGCACTACATACTACGGCGTGCCTCCCCCCCCCCCAACACGCTCACCCTACAGCATACCACCACACGGGAAGCCGTTGAGCTTTATCGCGCCGCAGCAGCCTTGTCACGTTCGCGCGCACACACACACTCGGCTCCGTGCTTCAGCGGCTTTCTCCTCTTCTCGCGCATATCTTACCTTCGTCCTGTTCGGTCGAGCTCGCGCGCACAACACGGTGGTTCATTCGTCGACGACTATTATATCCGCCAATACACTTGACGATGTCGAGCGCTGACGTACTGGCGGCGGCGGCAGCGGCAGCGGCAGCGGCAGCGGCAGCAGTGTGCTCGCACAAATCACTCAAATGCTCGTCGGTGACGGATCATCGCTTACACGCGCGCGCGAAGCCACCAGCACGGCTTCTCTACCGCTCGTAGCGCCATCTCGAGGTACGCGGGCGAGTTAAACCGAGGCCGCCTGCGATTTTCACTCCGCGGTCTCTCTTACATGCCAATAAGGCGTGTGTTCACTAACATCGTAAAATTGTTGTCAATCGTTTGGCAAACATCGTCGACCACAGAGCTCGGCAACAGCGCGCCGGCAAACGCAGACTTCCGACGCCGCCGCGCGTCCGCACGACAGCTATAAGATCGATACGGCGCCGGGTGCAGTCTAGCGCGCCGATGATCTGAATGCCTTCACGCAGGCCCGAGATTCAATCTCCAGTAACAAGCCGACGTCAGACTAAAAAGGCGCGTGTGTGCGTGTTTATCCCTGTGCGCGCGTGTGCGTGCGTTCGCGTGCGCGCGTGTGTGCGTGTGAATCCCTGTGCGCGCGTAGTTCCGCGTGTGCGGGTGTACTTGCTCGCGCGCGTGCGTGTGTATGCAGACCCCTTTATGTAACAATTGATTTACATACAGCAGGTGCTGCCAACGACGCCGACAGAAACCGCCGCGGCCTGTGTTCTGTCCGACGCAGCCTCGCCGTAATTAAATGCCAGTCACGTGCCAGTCACTTCTGAGAGATGGATACTGGGTGACCCCTCCAAGTTTATTAACAATAAGCCCCGTGACTCAGCTACTAACTACCTATTGACACACACGCACGCACACGCACACGCACACGCACGCACACGCACACGCACACGCACACACACGCACACTCACACTCACACACACGCACACACGCACACGCACACGAACGCGCACACGCACGCGCATACGGACGTACACATGCACGCATACGTACAGGCACGCACATACACGTGACGCACGCACATACACGCACGCACATACACGCACACGCACACACGTACACGCGCGCACACACACACGCACACGCACACACGTACGTGCACACGCACACACACGCGCACGCACACGCGCACACGCACACACACACGCACACGCACACGCACACGCACACGCACACGGGCGCGCACACACACACACGCAAACACACACACGCACACAAGCGCGTTCGCGCTCGCACACGCAATTATGTGCACGTTATGCAGGCTATAACCGTGTCGTTTCAGTCCACTCACTCAGACTAACTATGATCTGGTCATCACGAGTTGAGTGAATCTGGCCATAGACACGGCAACATACATACGAACACGGAACGAATTTCCTCTGCACTATATACTTATTCCTTCTTTTTACGCTCTTGACTATATATATCAGGAGTAGATACTAGGGAATCCCCCTGATATATATATAACAGTTTGTACATTTTTTTACATATCATATACTAACATATGTACAGTTTTAATTTTTGACGCTACGCAGAACGGCAGACGATTTTGTTATTCATTCAATTCGGCTGACGACTCCACTCCACCGCCTTCCTACACACCGCGGCTGCACGTACGCGTGCGCTCGCTCTGTCAGCAGCATCTGTCGCTGTCGCTCCCGGCGACGGCGCATCATCGTAGCAACACGCTCAGCGGTTGCATGTTTAGCTGCTGCTGCTGCTGCTGCTGCTTCTTCTTCTTCTTCTTCTTCTTCTTCTTCTTCTTCTTCTTCTTCTTCTTCTCTCTATATATATCTATATCTCTATCTCTCTCTCTCTCTCTCTCTCTCTCTCTCTCTCTCTCTCTCTNAAAAAGAAACACCCCTTCTAGAGAATGTAGACAGTGGTCAAGATGACCACTGGTCTAGACATCATTAACCTACACTAAAAACTCGTAGCACTACTAAAAACCACGTGACACAGCCAGAATTGTATAAGTACCGCGGGTTTTGGATAGAAAGAGCTGAATCGTCCAGGGTACAGATCCGTGGGTATGTAGTATTAAAGCGCTTGGTCAGCGCTTTGACAGTTCTCGTATATGTGTTATAGTTTAGGTCTTACCGTATTCGTGTTATAGTATGCGTCTTAAACGTATGTCTTAAAACTCCCTTTTAAGACTAGTCAAGGTATTTGTGTGTTTTAGAGAAACTGCCTTTTAGAGATATTTTATTAAGTGTTGTAATAACTTTTTCTCTGTACAACTTAAACTACAGTTATTACACTGGTGCCGTTTCCCACAGCTTGGCAAGGTATAACACGAGTAGACAGATTCAGTTTGTTAATAACATGTGTGTTTCAGATATAAATGTCTAGTATATTTAAGAATATATGTTGTATTTGTGTACTAACGTACGTACAGTACAGTACATCAAATACGTTTTTTTCTCTAAGAGAGATTTGTTTCTAATAGTAATAGACGTCTTTTTTCATTAATTGTTGTTGGTGATCTACGTTCTAATATAGTTCGTTGATATATTGTGTTGCTAATATGACTGTTGTTTTTTATGTATACTCGGTATGTCGGTATACAATCCGAGATCTCTGTCGGTATACACTCTACATTCGTCGCGTGTGAGCGCGGAGACGAAGCACGAGGCGAGAGTGTCGCTGCCGTAAGAAATGAAACCGTAAGTGCACGTTTACGCCTGTGATTGCTGATTAGTGGATCTGCGCATGATCTGTTGGTTATTATATATACCCTTTACCACGAATATACCCTAGTGCTATTAACATTATTTTACCTTTATTGTCAGACGATGAAACTGAGATTTCATTTTTCTACAGTGTTTATGTAACAGCTTGTAAAGGAGAAACAAGGTTAGTTTTTTTTAGTGTTTTCAGTTGTCGTAATGAAACTGGAAAACAATAGTTTAATCCGTATGTTTTTATGATCTACTTTCTCCACCCCACCCGCCCCACTATCATCATCGCCCGCCTTGTGAGTTTCTCAACTGCGTCGTACAATGCCAATTCATATCTAGATACGTACATTATATTGCACAGCCATGACAGAGAGTCAGGAAGTAAGAGAGAGAATCGCTGAGAAAATTCGTCCACAAAGATTTACGAAAGTGAAGGTGAGACGAAAGTCATTAACGGTTAACGAGGTCAGAGAGCCGTCGTGTAGCCCCGGATTGTACTATCAATCGCGCAGCGAAATTGTCACACCATTCACTAACAACGGTTTGAGGGCACCTACGTGGTAAATTTTTATTCGTATATACAGGGTTTGAGACAAGGTCAACCATGTTGGATAAAAAAACCACTCACATACAGTGTAAAGAATTCACTGGGAATTGTACCCCCCCCCCTAGGGCCCGAAAAACACTTTTTCATAAAGAGGGGAGTAGTGTAATGAAGCTAAAGTAAGTTACGATATAGAGCAACGCCGCAGGGCAGGCACGGTTCTTTGGCCACGTCTACGTCAAGGCTAGATTACACAGATAAGCAAACCCTTTCTAACTAAGACCGTGTCGCCCAGCTGGAGTCGTAAAGAACATGATTAACGATGATCATTAGTCCAAGCAAGGGACGTAGAACTGCATGGTATACATTATACACACGGGCCACGACACGAGACACACACACGAGAGTATATATATATATAGAGAGAGAGAGAGAGAGA